CAGTTGAATCATAAACATGGTAAGAACCAAGGCAGCAGACCATGTATCTGTATCTGTATAGCTGGTATAATACACCAGTGTAGTTGTATTTGCAAATTCTAGTCTTGTAACTAGGCTTATCTCAATTGAAAAGTAGATGACTACACATCCTCTGTGCAAGAAACAAGATCATGATCAGTGAATCAATGATTTAGATCATAAACATGGTAAGAACCAAGGCAGCAGGTGTACTATCTGTATCTGTATAACCAGTATAACACACCAGTGTAGTTGTATTCTAGTCTTGTTACAAGGCTTATCTCAATTGAAAAGTAGTTGACTACACATCCAAGAATCCAGTGAATTAATCAGTTGAATCATAAACATGGTAAGAACCGAGCCAGCAGGTCGTGTAGTTGTAAGATAAAGATGCCTGGAGGGTCGAGTGCTCTGGGAAAGCGTGGAAATCGTGTCAACTGCTCTCGCTGACTTCATTTCAAGGTTTCTCCAGCATTTTACCCTTTGGCAAGCTGATAATGCTGTCACTGATGTTGGTTTGGGTCGACTGATTGGGCAATTGTGGATTTGTCTGGCTCTTAACAGGATAACTTGACTGAATGAGTGATATAAAGTACAGTGGATTCATTCCTCAAGCTAACCGACATCTTTCACACCGCAGTCGTCCCTCAGTAAGACATCTAGAGCTGCATAGTTCATGTTTAGAACTTTTACATATTCAGCCTGTTACTTGATTTAATGAATTTCAGGTAGAGATGTCTGAATCCGGTGTAACTAACCCATGCACATTGTATATGTATGACATTATCCTGCACTTTGGCCTAAAGTGGAAGAGAGTGAATTTCAGAAAAAGTGAATGAAGAAATTTATCCAGGGTTCTTGAGCTTTAGAATATCAAGAATATCACCTAGTGGCGTTCTTTACTACTGCAGCACGCATCTCTTTACATTGCAGATTTCAAACATGCACAAGTCATTTTGTGAACTGTCGATTTCAAGACAATGACTGATAGACTGGATTTGTGTTCATCAAATATGTTTTCTGAAAAAGGTTATGCATCCATGCTATAAGTTACATCTATTTGCTTTAAATTACATAAATCTTCGCAATTCAGCCAAAAACTACCAAATTTGCAAGAATAAATCCCTCTAAAATGTAAAACAAATTCTGGTACACTTTAAGGATTTGTCAGCCAGCGATGGGAAAACAATAACCCGAAAATTGTGTGATTAGCCTACTTTTAGGTGCAGTGCACCATCTATTCTTGTTATGAGAATATTAGTGCTGTCATTATTTCCATGTGAAATTGCCGAACAAATAGGCTGGGAGATACGGTGAGCCAATATTTCGAATGTTCAGTCAGCTGGAGAAAGATCATAATATTGTCTTTATTAACTTGTCATACCAGTACAGTGTATCAATACATGTAGTTTACTTCGATTTCTGTAATTTTAAATGTATGATGTGAATGTGATCCATGTAACGCTAAATAGTTAGTATTGAGAATGATATTCAGTCCATATAACATCATTTTCTTACACTCTATGTATAATGAATGAAGTCCTCTAAGCCACCTACCAAAAAAACAACCATAAAATCTATTGTCAGAAAGACAAATTTGCCTTGCCAAAACTTGTCAATGTCACAAAATCCCCCAAGAAAAGAAAAGGCAGGGAAGATGAATTGGTAAGATTAGCGTGTGGCGTGTGACGTGTTCGTTTCTGCTTGATTCTAGCTACGAACACAAAAAACCGTCTGACCAAAATATGTACCTCCTTCACAAAATAACAACTCCAAAGTCTATTGTCAGAAAGACAAATTTGCCTTGCCAAAACTTGTCAATGTCACGAAATCCCCCAAGAAAAGAAAAGGCAGGGAAGATGAATTAGTAAGATTAGCGTGTGGTGTGTAACATGTTCGTTTCTGCTTGATTCTAGCTATGAACACAAAAAAAACGTCTGGCCACAAAACTCCTAAAGGTATACCTCCTTCACGAAATAACAACCATAAAATCTATTGTCAGAAAGACAAAATTTGCCTTGCCAAAACTTGTCAATGTCACGAAAATCCCCCAAGAAAAGAAAAGGCAGGGAAGACAAATTAGTAAGATTAGCGTGTGGCGTGTGACATGTACGTTTCTGCTTGACTGTGTGGCAGGCGCCGCTGCATGTACAATGTGTTAACAGCCCACCGGAGCGTGTGTGTGTGCAGTTTGTCCTTGTGTAATGCCCAGTCAGGCGAGAGTACATGTAGGACACTGTGGCTAAGGCTGCATACAGATGACAGTCTGATATTGGAACAGAATTACAAATAGTTTGTGAAGAGAGTGTTACAAAGTGTTGTTGCACTAAGTGCCAATATGGCTGGACAAAATTTTATCTTTACATACAGTCAAAATTTTATCATTACATAGTATATGTACACTCAGTCAAAACTGCCCACAAAGACCACTTGGGATTGATAAAATGTGGTCTATGTGGACAGGTGGTCACTATAGACAGGATTCTTACTGTTTGTGTCAATGGAAAAACTATCTAAAAGTGGTCATATTGGCCAGATGATAGTCTGTATTTTGTAAAAATTTTTTTTCGCCTATGATTATTTCTTCAAATATTGTTAGCAAAGAGCTGGACTATGTCTTGACTTTTTTCAATATCTTGCACTCAGTTGTCTCGGCAGAAATTACCATTATCCGGTAATAAAATTTGCAAGGCCCATGACTCGGGAGTAAAGCGACAGACGAAGTCAAATCGGGAGCTTCTCCTAAAGTAATTTCTCCTGCGTTTATAGCCCCCGTTAGCGCCCAATTTTGAATATACGGCAGACATAAAGTTGCTTGATGTCGATCCAAATGTATCGAAGCTCCCACTTATCCTCCATCCAAATTACTGGGCTTAGCATATAAACTGTGCTGCGGCATTAACAGGAGCGTATTAGATGTGAGGTGCTCGCAGTAGGGTCATTCATTCCTATTACCAGGGGTAAGATTGGACTATAAGTACAGATTGGTCGGTGCCTCAAGGCTACGAGACGGGCTATCAGCGGAAAAAGGTTCTTTGTATGAAATTGCAGAAGGAAGAAGTTGGTAGATGGGTGTCTGGGAGATATTGAGAGGTCGAATTAAGGAGGAAATACTTTATTTAAGAAGTTAGCTTGTGTCGTAGTCAATTTTCTGCAAGGTGGTGGTTTCTGCAAGGAGAATTGCGATGGAATTCTGTCCTCAGAAAGAGATTGCCCTTTGTTAAAGTTGATTTTCAGCGATTTTCAGCAAGATGGCAGAAAAATTTCCCTAAATCTTACAAGTTACAGTATAGATGACATGCCTAAGTTGGATGAAGAAAATGTACAAGGTAGAATTTGAAACTTTCTACTTACATGTAACCTAACTTAGCTGCATTAGAAATATGAAGAGCCATCGATTTGGAGTAGATAGAAAGATTTTGAAATCTCTTTATTATCCACAAAAAATGTGCGCATGTATAAATTGATATAATTTTGGTGGGATATTGGTATTGTCATAATAAATCATTATTTTCAATACACACAGTGTGTATCTTCCTGTGTGTGAAATTAGAGCAGTAGTTTTAAAGTTCAAAGATCAGGTTCAGGCAATGAACACTGTACATTTCCAAAGGTCACAAGTCCTGTCTGCCCCTTGCAAATGTCAACCCAGATTAATATTGGAAAGATAATGTCAACATTGACACTCCTCACAGTTGTATTAATGCCTGCTTCTGCATCAATATCTTAGGAAAGAAGAAAATTCATCCTTTGAAATCCATGTTTCAGGTATGTTTGTGAGTTACAAATAAAAGCCAAAAGTAGAAATAAAACCTATCAATTTCTAAAACTGATATATATGGATTTCTGAATTCATTTTGTTCTTTGATTTGATGAATTTTCACAATGGACAAATGTAGAAAATTGAGTAGATGTAAATTTGATTTTGAATAAACCAAACATTCCTCCAAAAAGGCAGTGACAAATTTCATCAACTGCTGTGAGCAACTCAGCTACACATTGCCTGTGTGTGAAAGTTTGGCCCTTAGTTTTGGCAAACTTTCTCCACAGCTGGGAGAAAGATAATCGGCCAAATTGATCGGCCCATCCTTGAACAAGATGCCGACACTGCAGAATCCCAAATGAAATGGGTGTCTGAAGCATCGGATCAATCCTCGAATTGTTCCTCTTTCCAGGGACACAGGAACAATCGATAGAACCCGCGGGGATCATCGATTTTACTATTTTTTCCCGTTTACGCCGTCGTCTGTGTCCTTGAGCTCGGGTTACTGCAGTTATTAAACTTTTAGTGAGGTTTAGGCTTGATGTTATTTGAGGAAACTTGTGTAATTGTGTGGTGCTTTGTGTTCGTTTTATGAGTTTTTATGGTGAGTCGTTTATATCTGTTATGGTTTTAGGTGGAATGTACCAAGAGAGTGTCTTGTGTGAGGGGTGGTTGAACAGTTCTGGACTTGCAATTTTTTCTCTCCCTTTTTCTTTCCATTTGCTCTTATGACGGGTATGACAGTTGTGAGATCTTTCTATTTGAGCTCTGGAATGGTTAACTATTATCAACTCTCAGTCATAATGCCACCATGTTTATGGCAAGGGATACCAAGTGATGACTAGGGAGAAATCTTGGAATGGAATCAGGTAGTTTGCTGTTGACTTTGACAGCATGACAGTCCTTGCTCAATGTAAAATGGTTGTCTTGTTACTATGCTTTTTGAATAAGAAGACCACTTTTCTAAGAAGGCCACTTTTCCTTGGTCCCAAGGGTCTTTGTCTTAGACGAGATGGATCAAGATTACTTTCTTAATTCTAGGATTTTTCAGAAGAATATCTGTATCTGAACAGCCAGTATAACCGCCCCTCAGCATAACTAACACACCAGCTTCCCAAGCATACGGTGTGACAGCAGCTGACTGTATTATAGCAAACGACTTGTTACTGTTCTGTAAAATGTACTTTCACTAACATTCATGCCCTTTTCCCCTCTCCAGGACGGAAACTACAAGTTTGAGAACGGCTCGGCGGTGGTGGAAGATGACGGAGACGAGAATAAGGAGCGCGGGAACTGGTCCAACAAACTGGACTTCATCCTGTCGTGTGTCGGCTACGCTGTCGGACTCGGCAACGTCTGGAGGTTCCCCTACCTCGCCTACCAGAACGGAGGAGGTGGGGATGGAATTCCACTTTCACTTAGAAATTACCTTCTTAATTTTAGCAAGTTTGTCATGCATGCATTTGTACTTGAATTTACCCTCTACCAGGCTTTAGAAGCGGCTGGAAAGAGTAGAAATTGGCAAGCACGTTATCTGTCTATTTCCCCAATTTCTACTCTTTCCAGCAGCTTCTCAAGCCAGGTGGAAGCTACTTGAATCAGTCTGACTACAGCCTGGCTTCTATAGCATCCTGTCTATTGGCCAGGCTAGTAGAAGCTTGATGACCAACACCTAAGTCAGGAGAATTGGGAACACCTTAATCCTGTTGATTTATGCACGTTTCCTTAGACAGAGAATCCTAAGTACAGTAGCTTCCATTGGACTGATTTTCAAAGGGATAAAGAAACTTGATGGTAGTTCCAAGAATGGGAATGGTTCTCTCAGATCAGATGCCACAAGCTCTCAGGAAGGAGGCGTTTATTTAGCCACTGACAGTAGCGAGAGATTGAGTACCACAGACTACTGTTTGATAACAGTATGGTTCCCCTTCTCCTCCAGGTGCGTTCCTGGTGCCGTACACCATCATGTTGGCGTGTGCCGGCCTGCCAATCTTCTTCCTGGAGCTGGCCTACGGACAGTTCTCCAGCCAAGGCCCTGTGGGAGTCTGGAAGGCCATCCCACTATTGCAAGGTAAGGCTGCAGTTCACACTAAAGCTGCTAGGGGGATGTCTAAGGCAATATCTGGCCATTTCTGGTTTTTTTATTTAATGGTGAATACTGTAGTTCACAATAAAGCTGCTAGGGGGATTTATTTCTTAATTTTTAACCATTGTTGGCCATCCCTCAAAAAAGGCAAGGCTGGAAGTGTACAAAGTGAGACATGAAACCCTAAACTTACTTACTTCAGCATAGCAAAGTTCTGATGCATTGAGCATAAGGCTACAGGAGAGTTGTATAATATGCTTCTTTGAGAAGCCTACCTGGTATACCTATTATGTATTCAAGGAAGACCACTTTGTCATATAGAATTAAAAATCTTGACACAAAACCCCAAACTGACTTACTCCAGCCCAGCAAAGCTCTGAATCCTGATATTGAATGTTAAGGCCACAGCATGGCAGTATAACAAAGTTAGAGACATTACCAGATACCAGGGGACGTTAAGAGAAATGGATGGGGGCGGTTATTGGAAACCACCAATTTGGTACCCCGACGAGCTGCTAATTTCATTTCAGGATAGATAACGATGATAACGAGGGACGTTATGAGGTGGTAACGAGATTCCCGGTGGAGTAGAGACAGAAAAGACATGAGGAGTTATTGGAGAGAATTTTAAGATAATTGTGGGGTCAGTGTCAGGGTAGTTGCTGTCAGACAACAAGAGATAGAGATGCCAAATGCCTGTTTTTGCAAATTGTCAAATTTTTGCATTCTACTTTTTCGTGTCACAGTTGTGGAGAAGGTTGAAGAGTGCTACATGTGTACGTACAGTCTTACAAGGTTTATTGTGCCAAGGAAATTCCCCAAGCTCTTTTCAACAAGAACAGTGAACCACAACTTAATGCTCTGTCCTCAGCTAGAATCCCTTTCCAGTAGTATGCGTGACAAAACCAGGGATTGGAGTCAGACTCCGAAACCTCTTGGTGCAGAGGCTAGGGTACCTAAACCACTGAAACTACACATGCGAACAGTCTAGTCTATATTAGGCTCTGATCTTTGCATGGCCTGACAAGACTAGGTCATGTTGTGTCTTGTAAGGAAGTAAATACGAGTTTGTTTGAGCTCCGTTTTAGGCCGGCCTGTTCACAGTTTGGCGACAGGAAAGTGGCCCGTTTGAAGCGGGAATGGTCACAGCGGCGAGAGATTCTCCCTGTCAAGTTTTTGTTACCGCAGAAGAAATGTTGCTGACACTAGTGGGTAATTCAGGTCATTCAATACATGGACCTAACGCCAAGTTTCATAATGCTGTTTGGTACCCTTTGGGCCTGAGACCTCTTTCTCTCTCACTCTCTCTCTCTATCCTATCTCTATTTCTCTCTCTACCCCCCTCTCTGCCTCTGTCTTTTTCTGTCTCTCTTACTCTCTGTCTCATTCCATCTCTCTTCCTCTCTGTCTTCCTCTTTCTGTCTCTCTTTTTCTCTGTCCCCTCTCTCTCTGACTGTCTCTCTTTGTATGTCCCTCCCTCCCTCTCTCCCTCTCTCTCTGTCTCTCTTTCTGTCTCTCCCTCTCTCCCTCTTTCTTTCCCTCCCTCTGTCTCTCACTTTCCCTCTCCCTCCCTCAGTCTTGAAAGGCTATTTCACTGCGCAAAACAGGATGGTACAGTTCCCTTTAACTTGGGCCTGAGACGTATTGTAACATAAAAAAAGTTGTGAATTGATGAGACCTACTAAATATCAGTAATCCCAGAGCTGTGCACACTTCAGATATCCAAGGTGTTCTTTCCGGTCACCTTATATCCAATAGTTCCTTTCCACGAGTGCTTTGTAGTATTACTGTATTGGCACTCTCCACACAGAAAGAAATGTGTTGGTACGCTTACAAGCACTTTATCCAACACTTTGTAGGACAACCTTGTGGTCTTGCCTTCAATCTTGCAAATGTACAGGATGACACCTTGGGGTGACCTGCTAGTTTGCAGGTGCTAGTAGGTTAAGTGTTGAGTGCTTTGGGAAAGTACATGCATACGTCAGGGTTCTCACCTCAAATTTTCACAGTGTAGGGGTCAGGAACGGAGGGCCAACTTTGCATGGCATTTTGTCCAAGTACAGGTTCCAGTAGGTAGCCGAAGTGTGAGTGTTTTGGGAGAGTAAATGTACATGGCAGGGTACTTGCCTCAAAATTTTCATAGTGTAGGGGTCAGGTACAGAGGGCCAACTTTGCATGGTACAAGCTGTGTGTTTAATGTCAAAGACATGCAGACAGTATGGGGTCTGGCATCCACCCCCGCAAAATTTTGAAATTCATAACCCCTTGAGAACTATTTCCTGCATTTTCAGGGTCAAATTTTGCACAGTAAAGTTTTCCTCTGTTACAGCCTTATTTTACAAACAAATGTTAAACTTTTAACAGATTTATACAAGGTTCTCCTAAGAAAGAAATGTCTACACAGGTCAAAAGACAATTAAATCACAGTGTAGGGGCCACAACACTCAAACTATGCTAACTAGAACACTAAAAGCATCAGTGTTAACATTGGAACATCCAAATTTGTGTTTCACTGCACACTTGAGTGTGACTTTGACAAATGTCCATTTAAAGACCCAGTGACTTCTCCCACTAGTGCTAAATGCACCACGGTGTTAAATTAAACAAACAATTTGCATGTAGTATTTAATTGACAAATTTTGACGAATGCCCATCGTTAGATCGGATTATTAGTAATTATCCGTCCAGTGTTTTATCAATCCACTTAGTGTGTGATTAGCAACTTGACAGCTGTCCATCAAAGTCAATTGGTGTACATTATAATTATTAGTACCTTGGGTGTTGTCATGAAATATGATAGTTAAGTGCCTGGTTACAAGTCTGATTCAAAAGTTGCATCCACAATGCCACAAAGTCTGGTATAACTTACTATAACAAGGACTTTCTGAAAATACACAGCATCAGTAAAATAGCTCAGCTAGCCCACAATGCAGGCAAAACCCATTTACTACATAGTCAGAGCAAGCGAGGACAAGAAAAAAGAAATTCTTAAGAGTGTTTTGTAAGTTTGTTTGACAGATGAAAGCTTTGGGGTGTCTTTGATCCGTTAGATGGAATGAGATGAGAGACGTCCCTCACATCAATGCTTGCACAGGCCGGTTTGCACATGTCAACTTCAGGAGTGCAATAGGCTGCCTTCCGTGGGCAATGGAGCTTAGCACTTACTTGGCTGACAGTTCTGATTTTACCATGGGAAGATTTGATAGGAGAATAGGTGTTCAAGACATTCTTAAAGGCATCCAATGCAATTTCAGGAAATCAAGGTGGCAAAGCTGGATTTTGAAAATCACTTTTCTTGTCTTTGTAAATGAATCGATCCTATCCCATGGCATACTGATATCTGAGAAAAACAGGCAATGTCACTGATAAAAAATGTTAGGTTGTTTTGTGTCATACTTACAGGTTGGTTCTAGCTATTAACGGGCGGTACCCAATAAATAGAGAGACAACTCACGTACATGTAGCTTGTTTTGGGACAATTTCAAGTTTGAAGTATGACAATTTGCTAAGAAATGGCAGTAAATGTCAATATCAGACAGATTCCCTCATTCAGAATATGTTTTGTTCAGCCACCCTGAAATTGCGTTGGATGCCTTAAGAAAGTCCTGATAACCCCAGTTTTTCCTTATGGTACCTGGTGACTAGACGTTATAGTAAGAGCACTGCTGCATTGTTTAGTCCTGATGATATAATCATGAACAGCCCCCAAAACGCAGCGAAGTCCCAGCGCTCCTGACCTAGATCTGTTTCCCCTTGATCGACGATCCTCGTTTGTGTAGAAGTGAACCGACTGAACAGTTCTGAAAGGCCTCGCTGATGAGATGCGATGCATCAGCCGTACATGGCAGCTCAGTATTGTGTGGTTGGGACCAGTGGGGGGAGGTTTTGTATTGACTGTAAATGGTGGCGTCAAATTTTTTTCATCATGATACAAAAGCTGATTTGATTAATTGATACAAACCTACATAGTGCATAGGTACCACCTGGCTAGTGTGGCCACTTTTAGACGGTTGTTTACTTATTTTATTTTTTTCTTCTTTAGTTTTGACTTCTCCAGGACCAGAATGTGTCCTGGGGATGACCCTATGAGAACCTGAAATGATGGTATTTAAGAAAAATAAAGCAGGCAAATCCAAAAGCAGGCAATTCCAAAATCAAATTGGTGTGGCTTAACAGAAAATGTTATTGTTTGTTGATGAATGTTTTCCTTATGTCTCCCTTACAGGAGTTGGAGTGTGCATGGTGTATGTGTCATTCCTGGTGGGTTAGGGTTTAACTGTTAGCTAACAGAAGATGTTATATTAATGAACCTTGTTGTTCTTGTTGACTGTTAAATGAACATCGTTCTTGTCCCTACAGGAGTTGGTGTGTGCATGGTGTGTGTGTTGTTCCTTGTGGTTAGGGTTTAACTGCTAGCTAACGGAAGATGTTGATTGATAGTTTTACTGATGAACATTGTTCTTGTTTTTGCAGGAGTTGGTGTGTGCATGGTGTGCGTGTCGTTCCTGGTGGGAATCTACTACAACGTGATCATCGCCTACGCGCTGTTCTACCTGTTCGCCTCCTTCACCAGCTACCTCCCCTGGACCGACTGCAACAACCCCTGGAACACGCCCGAGTGCGCCACAAAAGGTCAGGGGGCATGGGTTTAGGGGACATGGGGTCAGGGGGCACGGGGTCAGGGGGCAAAGTTCAGTAAAAAGAAGCTGCACCCAGGGAATTGAGAGTAGCTACGTATTTACTGATTTGTTGATTTGAGTGAACAGAAATACAAAAATTGAAAACTAGATGGCAATGGCTCCGTGGGTGCCGCATAGGTCAGGGGGTATAGTGTAATGGGTCAAAGTTCACCCTGGAGTTGAAAGTTCACCAAAAAGTTTGTTGATTGAATGAGCAGAATAACGAAAATTGGAAACAAGACAGCAGTCGAAATGAAAGGCAGTATAGTTCTTTTTGTCTGTAATAGTTAAATAGGATTCACGTGCCTGTAATCTGCAGTTTGAAATGAAGTTGCTGGGGGGATTGCTTTATCCACCTGTTCAGTACTATTTTGTTATGTTTATGTATGCGATGGTTGGAAGATGATGTCACAAACTCATACTCACACTTTTTCTTTTATTGTTTTTTTACAGATGGTAGGTCCCCCACCCCTCATGAGAGAGTATATATGAGTTCTTTTATTTTACTTTCTGTTTGCTATTCTATGGTTTGATTAAACCGTTAATGTTTGCTTTGTTTCTACTAACCTTTCAGTTAAATGTTTCCAAATGTTGAACCTTTGTAGATTCTTTCTTTTTGTTTTGGTTGATTGAGGCTAACACCTAACTTGCCACTTGCAAGAAAGACACATTTGATTTCCTTTTCACTGTCACCTAATGAACACAACAGTTTCATAGAATCTTCTACAAGTCACTCTTACAAACTATGTTACCCACAGTTTACTAGTATCATTTTCCAAACATACAACATTGCAACATTGCAGCTACTAGCTTTCTTCCACTAACTAACACCTACTTGAGATATGTGATGGACTTAACACAATGTTTTCCTCTTCACATCTAACACACTTAATTCAAAGTTTAAAAAATAATACCAGAAAATTGTGTGCCAGTTTGTACGAGTTTTGGTGTAGTTTGCATTGTAGAATAGTGAGTTGCAAACTCAGATACATTGTATGTGTTTGCCAATCGTTTGCTTGCAAGTATACACTGTAGAACCTTGCAAACTTACTAACTTGGTCAAAAAATAACGAGATTTATTGACTTGTTAGTAATAAGTTTTCTTTCTCGTTTTACAGCGTGTCAGCAGACGGTAAACGCGACGTTTCAGAACGTGACGTTAGGCGGCGAGCTGTACTCCATGTTCGGTCTGTACGACGAGAACGGGACCTGGGTCAACGGGACGTTCTGCGGCAATAAGGAGCGCAAGAGCCCCAGCGAAGATTACTGGAAGTAAGTCTTTCTTTCTTTTACTTATCTAAGTCTCCAACATTTGAGTGGCTTGTGCCAATGGTTCTTCGTCTCTTCAGCATTCTGCACCATTCCTGGTGATTTCTTTCAGTTCCTCAAGAGTTATGTTGATTCTTTTCATGAACAATTTGGCATTGTCCAGTACACAGTTTATACAGGTTCTTCTACATGTAGATTTGCCTAATGAGGCTCGTTCTCATTGAAATGTACAAAATGGTGATTTTTGGGGTCGAAAAATCGATGATCTGTTTTTTCATGCAAACCTACCTTATTTTTTAGGAAAACATCTCAATTAATGATTACCAAAAAAGGACAGCTTAATTGCCATTGGAAGTTACCGAAAATTTATGCACTTAGATAAGACATATGTAAACAATGCAATTTTAGTGCAGCAAAAACGCTGGAACAGCAGCATGAATTGGGTGTACGATAAAGCTTGCATTCATGACATCACTTCAAAAGCCATTAGTTTAGGCGTCAGTATCTATGAAAGTACTTCTGTCAACCCATTATTTACTGGTAAATATACACGTATCGAACACATAAAGATAGCTAAGTGTAGTGTATAGAAGTAGCAAAAAATACCTTTGGAAGCAAAGAAGAGTAGAACATTTGAGTTTGTTGACGCCACAGAAGGTTATTTTTCTTCGGATCCATATTTTTTCTACTTTATTCCTAACTATTATGTTTATGGTGCGTAGGGAAGGGAAATTCAATCTCTTGTTACGTCTTTTCCCCTACAGGTGTAACTTCCGTTACCGGTAACGGATGTTACAAATCGGACGTTTTTGTTTATTTCTCCAAGAAGATCTGCAGTTTTTATCTACATCCTTTGAGAACAAGAGGGCATAAGTACGGACATTTTAAAACTGGGCGACTTTTTATATACCAGGTGAAGAAACTAAAATTGAAAGTAAAAACAACGGTAACGGATGTTACATTCATTACTGTAAAACAATTTGTTCAGCGAAGGTGGCTACAAATGACAGCAAACACTCTTTTCTTCTTCTCTTAGAAACCTAGAAAACTTGCTAAAAGTCTTTAAAATGGCAATTTCTTGTCTTATATGTGACTCTATCTAAACTGCACGACCGTCTTACTTGAGCGGTAACGGATGTTACAGAACTTGGCGACAGGTATGAACCACCTCGCACAGCGTACAAAAATAGTGACAGAAGCGATCTGACTTGATCAGTTAGAGGGCCTGGCCACCCGACTTCACCAGGCAGAAAACTACTGCCGTAATCAAATTGCTACGTTTTAGGTTGCTTTTTAAAGTTTCTATTTCGTCTCAGGCGACAGCCGCTTTTTAGGGGGAGAAATCCAACCCGCGACCATAATTTCTCTCAAGTCATCAATCAAACCTAGTTTTGTGGTACATTTTTCGTGAAACATAGTAAGTGTAGTGGGAAAGTGAAGGAAGCAACGATGAGGTCCGTGATTTGGCTCATACCTAGTCGTAAAGAGTGGCGACAGCATTTTGTACATTTGGATGAGAACGAGTGATGAGTGTCTTAAACTTTAGATTCTATTTTACAAGATAACTAGGCAGCCATTCCAGCTTTCTGAAGGTATGCTGTAGTCTTCTAAGTCTGTTGTTTGCTACTATCAATAGATAGCTTTAAACAATGTCTAGAGCTAGAAGTTCAAGGGTTAGGTGTAACAAGTCGATCGGTGTAATATAGCCAGCTGCCGCCGCGCCGCGTGCCTGCGAAGCTGGTGTGTTACGCCGAAAGGCGGTTATACCGGCTATACAGATACAGATACAGATACAGCTGCTGCAACGTTAACTTCATTTGTCTACTTCAGTACACACTGTTTGTTCCATGATGAAACCATCTGATATATACTTGATAAGTCAGCAAATAAAAAACTCACATTGTCAATGTTCCCCAGTCACTATGCCCTGGAGATCACCCCCGGGATCCACGAGCCGGGCGGAGTGAAATGGCAGCAAAACAAACAAACAAACTAACTAACCTCGATTGTTGTTGTTTCCCAGTCACTATGCCCTGGAGATCACCCCCGGGATCCACGAGCCGGGCGGAGTGAAGTGGCAGCAAAACAAACAAACAAACAAACTAACCTTAATTATTGTTGTTGTTTCCCAGTCACTATGCCCTGGAGATCACCCCCGGGATCCACGAGCCGGGCGGAGTGAAATGGCAGCTGGCTCTCAGCCTGGTGCTGGCCTGGGTCATCGTCTTCTTCAGCCTCTGCAAGGGAGTCAAGTCTTCTGGAAAGGTCAGAAAATGTTCTTAGCAGTCTTTCGTATCTAGAACTGTGCTTTATCCAAAACTTTGCTCAGGCACAGTTCTGGATAGTCCTCATGTATCCAGAACCAAGCCTGGGTAAAATCTATGGTCTTGGATATACGCGGAGACTATCAAGAACTGCTGTAGCTCAGACGCGGTTCTAGACGGTCCAAGCTTACTCAGAACTATGCCAGTGACAAGTTATGTTCTTGGATACATGAACACTATTCAGAACCATGCCAGATCCTAACCTCAACCCATTCAGGCACAAAACTAGATAGGCATGGTTCTGGATAAGATACATGGAGACTATCCAGAACCCTGCCTGATCCTAACCCTATCCTATTCAATCAAAGAACTAGATAGGCATGGTTCTAGATATGATACATATGATACAGCATTGCATCAGGATCTCAAGACTAGAATTTTGAATCCCTGTATATCTGTTGGAATACTGAACCCTTATATTTGTGCTTCTGGTAGTGGTTACAATTAAGGCAGACTAGTTCCTAGTGCCTTGTTTTGAACCATCGGTACACCCTTGGCAGGCTTCAAAATAAGAATATACAGTCTTCTGAGGGCACACACGGTGCAATTGCCGTCATCTTGAGGTCACACGGCAGCTACATGACCTTTCTCTGGGGCGCAGTTCGCCACGTTTCATCTTGCTGTTCAGTTGTCATGGAAACAGGTCAAATGGAGCAATGGGTGTTTAGTTAGATATTCTGGACAAATGGTGCCCCGTACTCACAACTGGGGCAGTGGTCACAGGTCACGTAAATATTGATCAATTGATTGATTGATTGATTTTGTGTGATAATGTCAACTTGATGATCTGGAAACAAGCTTGAACACTAACAAAGTGACTGGGGTTGGTGGGCACACCAGTTAGATTTCTCGTATTTGCAGCTTTTTTTTTCAAATTTGGAAAAGAAGATACATTTGTAGAAAGATAAAGAATACAAGTTATGGTATGAATCAGCCTCAAAATGTTCATGTTCTGTCAACCACATTTGAAGAAATTCTCTGTCTTTGTAGTTGTTATTTTCTTGTTTTTTCTCCTTTTATCAATGCACAATACAGTATAAGTCCAAAATTCATTGTTTGAAGACTTAGTGCTAACCAGAATGTAAAGTGGCTCTTGGCCACCCACTTCTTTATTTTTATGTAAAAAATCTGATAACAATGAAAGTAAATCGGCGTAACCATAAAAAAAATTGGAGAAAAACAAACTTCAGTGCCCGGTTTGTCCTTGAGTGGTTAGTGATCCATGAGCAGGAGCTAACGAAGGGGAGATAACGAACGTGAGATAATTACTGTTCGACACAGCCGAAAGCCACTTAATCACAAATGATGTATCGATTCCCAAGTCGATACGGTCGGACGGGAGAGAGAGTTACGACTGTTGGCATGTTTACATCACTTTCTCAGTCTGTTATGGCAGTAGTCAGGTCTTGAGATAGGCAATGGCCGGGACATCTTTTTGATTGTTGTGTTAACCTTTAGCACCCTGAAGTATCTGTATGTTTAGGCCACACCAATTTAATTTGTTGGTACTTGGATTTTTTTCAGAAAAAATATGAAGCGATAGGGCAAAAAAAAAGTAAAAACAGGTCTAGGCATCCTATTATAGCCCCAAATGCTATGATAGGAGATATTAAGTCAACACAAAAGGCTGTGTTGACAAAGCTGGTAGCACTGAACCAAGAATTTAGACTGTTGGAGCCTAAACTTGTGGAGAAATGTGCCAAGAACCGTTGTTTTTGTCTGATTTGGCAGGAGTTAAGGACATGTTATGGAACAAAACCAAGAAATTAAACCATTCTGGCCTAAACTTGTGAAGGAATGTGCCAAGAACCGGTGTTTACATCTGATTTGGCCGGATGTAAGGACACGTTATGGAACAAAGCCGTTTTTCCAATGAAGCGACTGGACAGCACCTGGTCCCCTTAAAACCCAGCTCAGCCGGCAAATTGTATTGAACAAAAACCCGGCGAGCGAAACACGATCCTTCTAATACAAGTCGGGCAAAGAGGTTCAGCTTGGGTGATCACATCTGCTGGGTTTCTTAAGAACAACCCAAACTTCTTGAGGAAACAATAGGTTTAAGGAGTTATGGGACATGTGTTGTTGTAACATAGTTTTCAGCACCAAGGACAGGCACTGCTATAAAGTTTTTGCTTGGTCATATACATCTACTAGGTCTAAGGCAAATAGTATTGAACAAAAATCCGGCGAGTGAAGCGCGATCCTTCTAATACACAAGTCGGGCAAAGAGGTTCAGCTTGGGTGATCACATCTGCTGGGTTTCTTAAAGAACAATATAAACTTCTTGAGGAGGCTGAGACAATAGGTTTAAGGAGTTTTTGGGAGATGTGTTGTTATTGCATAGTTTTCAGCACCAAGGACAGGCTACCATTATAAAGTTACAAAGTTATAAATCTACAAGGTTTCTTACTATAGGAACATTCAAATTTTATTTGGCAGTGGAAGACACTAGATTTAAGGATTTTTGGGAGATGTGTTGTTATGACATAGTTTTCAGCACCAAGGACAGGCACTGTTATAAAGTTTTTGCTTGGTTATATACATCTACCAGGTTTCTTACTATAGGACCTATCCAAATTTCCTTTGGCAGATTTTCTTAGGCAGAATTCTTAGGGCTCTGGTGTTTTAAGACAGCTTTCAATACCAAGGACAGGCACTGTTATGAAGTTTTTGCTTGGTCATGTACATCTAGCAGGTTTTTTTACTATAGGAACATTCAAATTTCTATGGCTGTGGAAGACACCAGGTTGAAGGATTTTTCAGTGATCTGTTGATGTAGCATAGTTTTCAGCACCAAGGACAGACACTGCTGTAAAGATCTTGCTTGGTCATGTACATCTAGCATGTTTCTTACAGCAGGAACATCCAAATTTTCTTTGGCAGATTTAGGGATTCCTCAGCTTACAGCACCGAGGACCAGCGCTGTTAGAGAGGTTTTATCTGGTCACTACCTACTATCTACCTACTATAGGAGGCCTTGTTGGCAGTGGAAGGCACCAGATTGATAAATTCTTCAATGAACTGTTCTTGTAACATGGTTTTCAGTACCAAGGACAGGCACTGTTATGAAGGTTTTGCTAGGCATCCAAATTCTTTTAAGCCGTGGAAGACACAGGATTTAAGGACTCTTCAGTGATCTGCACTACTGTTGTTGTACCACAGCTTTCAGCACCAGGGACAGGCACTGTTATGAAGGTTTTGGTTGGTCACTTGGTTATTTATTTTTTTCTTAATTTTCAAAGGTTTTTAATTTTCTTTAGCAGTTGAAGATACGAGGTCTAAGGATTCTTCATTGATCTGTTGTTGCAATGTAGTTTTCAGCACTAAGGACAGAGGCCATTTTCAGTGCAAGAGAACAAGGTTGAGGGAATTGGGAACTTTCCCTTCAGACTTTGTTTACATATCAATCTTACAGTTCAGTATCCTGCCTTTTTTAAATCAGAGAACCACTAAATTACCTTGGTGTGGCCTTACAGTAGTAAGGACAGGGATTATTTTAAGTTTACAAGGAAGGGGGCAAGATTGAGGAAATTGTGAACTTTCCCTTCAGATTAGCATCCAGCTTTTGTTTTTAATCTGAGAACCAACAAATTACCTTGGTGTGGCCTAAGGAAGACACGCTAGCCGTCAGGAGCTGTGTAATAGACTGTCACCCTATCTTCAGGTCAGGAAAGTTCGCCGCCGGGAAATTACCATATAAATTGGACTCAGAGGTTTTAAACGCCGCCGACTCACTGATCGTGTCTCTGGCTGTTGCCGGTAGCAACGGGCGTTCGTTCGCCAAAGTGTTGCCTGTCTGGCTGTCAGTCAATTTAGACTTGTCTGTGGAGACATTATAGAAGGGAGGAAGATGTCACTGGTGTCGTATTCTACCTAATCTTATAGCAGTTGGTTGAACTTTTTGGATTTTGAGAAGAAGATAGGTCTGAACTGGAGTTTCAATGTGAAAAAAGAGTCAAGAGGGGAAAATCTGTACCTCGGTAGATACAGTTTCAGGGAGGGAGTATAGTCTGATGGAAGTTTTCCTCCATTCCCTTTGTTTTTTGTCTTGTCCTCTTGCCAAATTTTTACTTTAAAGTAAGATGGCTGAGAAAATTACCTAAGCACAGCCTCTATATACTAGCCTCTGCATTTGTTTTTAGATAGGTTTGGGTTGTCCTTTTTCTGATTTTTTTCTGTTTTGTTTGCCTGTATTACATAGGTCGTGAATTTCACGGCAACCTTTTGGGCAAAATGCTGTAACTATCGCTCTAACTTTCAGGAGTTACGAATAGGGTATAGGGTGGACTTATAGTGCACATTCTAAGTTTACCAGTAACATGTTTGTTTGTTTGTTTGTTTGTTCTCAGGTTTTTTACTTCACGGCGACCTTCCCGTACTTTGTGCTGCTGATTCTCCTGACATGTTTGTTTGTTTGCTGACATGTTTGTTTGTTTGTTTGTGCTCAGGTTGTTTACTTCACGGCGACCTTCCCGTACTTCGTGCTGGTGATCCTGCTGATTGTCGGCGTCCTCCAAGACGGCCACCTGGACGGAGTTCTCTTCTTCATCACACCCAAGTGGGAGAGACTCAAGGAGGCCAAGGTGAGGCTAAACATCTGAAAAACAAGAAAAGCAAATGTTTTGTTTGAACAGCATCTCTTCTTGGGTCTTGTATATGAAATACATGTACTCGAAGATTTAGTTGAAAAGATTATCATGGTTAATTGTATCTCACATTGCTGAGTAAATTGAATGCAAGGTACATAGCTCATAGTAGATAGTACACTGGAAAAGACAAATATGTACATGTAATTGCCTACTGCCTAAATGCTTAATGCAAATTCACCTTGAATATTGTTTCCCAAAGCCTAATACGCCAATAAACAATTACTTCTTCTGTATCTCATGTTTTGCTAACGAATCTATGAGACTTAGTTAAAGTGTTGCCCATTTGCACCCCTTATAAGAGTCTAACTTGTACTCCTTCCTTGTCCAGGTATGGAAGGATGCTGCCACCCAGATCTTCTACTCTCTGTCAGCAGCCTGGGGCGGCCTGATCACCATGGCTTCTTACAACAGATTCCAGAACAACTGCTACAAGTAAGGTTCCACATGTCATAAAGTCTATGCTGTAGATGCTATCCCCTGGGTACTGCAAATCAGGTGCTAGAGTGTAAGATACAACTAGCGCTCGTTTGATGACAATTCTTACAAGTAAGATCAACTATAGTTTCATTTGCATTCCTTTTTGCTCAGTGTCATTTCAATGGACACAGGATCTGAAACTTGACACCCTTGTTAATGTGGATGAAATGTTGCCTTCACCAGGACCGTTCCATAGAACCATGTTCTGAAGTTTGATACAATTGTCACAGTATCTAATGTGTTACAATCAGTTCTATTGTTCTATAGAACCATATTCTGAAACTTGACACACTCCTGTACTGTATGAAATGTTGCACTAGCTTGCCAGGGATGTTCCACAGAACCATGTTCTGAAACCTGATCCCATCTAACAGGTGTCTAATTAATTTCACCCAAACAGAGACACCCTGATCGTGTCCCTGATGAACTGTTCCACCAGTGTGTTCGCCGGATTTGTTATTTTCTCCATCCTGGGCTTCATGGCCAAGCAGATCGGAGTGGACGTGGATGATGTGGCAGCCTCTGGTGAGTCAGGGAAGGAGGGAAGAAGGGAGAGGATGAGAGAATGAGTGAGTGAGTGAGAGAGAGAGAGAGAGGGAAGGGTAAGAACAAGTGAGTGAATGAGACATTTTCTCCATCCTGGGCTTCATGGCCAAGCAGATTGGAGTGGACGTGGATGATGTGGCAGCCTCTGGTGAGTTAGGGAAGGATGGAAAGACATAGGGAGAGGATGAGAGAGTGAGTGAGTGAGAGAGAGAGAGAGAGGGGGAAGGGTAGGAACGAGGGAGTGAATGAAACATTTTCTCCATCCTGGGCTTCATGGCCAAGCAGATTGGAGTGGACGTGGATGATGTGGCCGCCTCTGGTGAGTGAGAGAAGGAGGGAGGGAGTGAATGAGTGAGTGAGTGAGTGAGTGAGTGAGTGAGTGAGTGAGTGAGTGAGTGAGTGAATGTGGCAGCCTCTGGTGAGTCAGGGAGGAAGGGAGCAAATGAAGGGATGATTGAATTAATTAACATATAAATGAGTATACTAAGTGATCAGATTTTATAGAATGATGTAGTTCTTTTATGTCATGCTTGTCCATATGAGCTCACTTGCAGTGTTTGTTGTAGCTGAGAGCTGCAAAGCTACTACATTTTTTTGTACATGTAGTGTTATGATGCTTTAATGTGTTTATGAAACTAATGCTCCTATCTCTCCTGTTCAGGGCCTGGGCTTGCGTTTATTGCATATCCTGAGGCCCTTACGAAGCTGCCCGTGCCCCCGATTTGGGCCATCCTGTTCTTCCTCATGCTGCTGACTCTCGGCCTCGACACACAGGTCAGAACAACTCCTAAACAACACCTGCAAAAAACAACACCTGTAAAGAGCACACCTTTTAGGCATTGTACTGTACTCGTACTACTGTATTCATAGACAAATGAAACTCTACTAACTATGTTAAAGAAAATAACTGCTGGACATTCCAGACTCTTTTTAAATTTCAAAAAGAATGCTGTCATGAGTACAGACTGGAAAAGTCTGTTCTTACACATATTTTCAAGATGTGGATGCAGTCATTTGCAAGTTTTAATGACTTTTTGCTTAAGTCACAGAGAATCCTGAGCTCCTATTAGACTTATTTTCACTGTGACGGTCGTAAAGAGCTCCTATATTCTTGGTAGTTCTGTGAATGGTTCTCTTGAGTTGGAGGTGTGTGGAAACAAGATCTCGGAGAGGACGCGTAATCAGCCCCTGCCAGCTCTAGATTGCATAACCTATGCCATTATGAATCTATGTTTTTTTCCACTGCTCCAGTTTGCCATCATCGAGACAGTGACGACGACGGTTTGTGACCAGTTTAAGATCGCCCACACGGGGATCAAGAAGACCCTCAGCACCCTGGCCTTCTGCATCGTCATGTTCCTGCTCGGACTCCTCTGTGTCACGAGGGTAAGTCTCTCTCTCTCTCTGGTTTATCTATTTATCTATTTATGACGATTTACCACATTTGTGGAAGGATTGACATAACAGGTGACTATCACCTTTTCAAAGATGTCAAACCTGAGACCAGACTGTAATGTTTGAACCACTCACACTGGGAAGGTCCCCTACATCTTTTCGATAAGTGTGGTAGGTTCTTTAACGTGCGTGGGGTGTGGCTCTCCCAAACACGGGACCTCCATTTAACGTCCTATCCGAGGGACATCCCTAGCCGAAGCTAGGTACTCATTTTCACCTGAGTGAAGTGAGGAAAGTCGTGTAAAGTACCTTTCCCAAGGGTACAACGTCGCGGCGCATGTTCGGACTTGTTCGGGTACGACCCGGAATGGAACCCGGGTCTCCCCGTTTCATAGTCCAGTGATGTACCACTACACCACACGACGCCACCACAAACATCGTCTGTTGTTCCCCATAACCGAGGGTTAGACGTGCTTGCACACTGATGCTGAGACTTGATGACCCTCTGTGTCATGAGGGTAAGCCAGGGGCAGACTTCAGGCTGCCAGTAACATACATGTACATGTAATTTGAGTGAGGGGGCCCAATGCTATGAATTGGACTCTGCAGTTGAGGCCCCCTATCTTTTAATCAGTGTTGGAGTGTTTCTTAAAGTTTTCACAGGTCTTAACAAAAATTAAGATTTGGCTTTTGAATAAGGCTCTAACAAGGAAAACAAATTCACCAAACTTGTTCCTCAAAATCCCAGCAATACATGTAGTGTCTCTGGGTTGTAAATGCAGGCATTGAGAATTCTCTCTACCCCCAAATTCCCCCATTATCAAATGCAGCAGAAGCCTCTTAAGATACTAGCTTTAAACAATGCTCAGAGATGTCCAACTCCTGTTGTGTAGGATATTTCTTTGGAAGCTTGAAATAAATGGCCAAAACAAACCATATTTCACACCTAGATCCACAGCGATGGGCCGTCAACTTACCATAAAGCTACGCTGCAAAGGAGTCTAATTAATTCTAGGAGCGTTTACCAATTAACCCCAGAAAACTGAAACTGACGAGGTTGGCAGGGAGAACAGAGATGGGGAAGATAGGGGTACCGAATCCTATTTACATGCAAAACGCGTTGCTATAGAAACGGGCCGTTTCCGACGTAACTGCCTTGACATGAATTTGTGCTCTTTTGAGAGATAATGGAAAGTAACAGCAGTGTCAATTTCACTCCGGATTTAGGAACGCGATTTGGGGGCGTTTTCATTTTACAGAGAGGATATGGGCTTCAAAACATACAAGATTATCTATAGCCTTCTATAACACACCATTTAAATTGCTATATTATTGTATCATCGTATTTTGGTGGACTTCAGGAAGCATATTGAAAATACATGTAGTATCACTAAGGGAGATCTGAATAAAACCAAAACAAATAAATGAAATTTCTTTAATGAATGCTAGACATCCAGGTAAAAGATACTCAAAGAGACAATCTCTACTACTGAATAAATTACAGCAATTATTTCCGGACATTTCAAGAGACATCTGTCACTCTTCTTCAGCATCACTAGAAAGAAGTCTACACTTACAAGAGGAACTGGAGAAACTGGTCGAACATGACTAGGATTCTGATCCTAAGTGTCATTAATAGTTGAAACTTTTTTCCCTCCTTTTTGCAGAGTGGTCTGTACTGGGTGAACCTGATTGACAACTTTGCTGCCTCCTACTCCCTCATGGTCATTGCCATCACTGAGATGCTGGGAATCTCATGGATCTATGGTCAGTGTTTCTTCCTTCACATATAATGTTCATTTGTAAAAGTAATACTCACACACTCACTCACTGTCCGGTTTATCGTCTGTTGTTCCCCGTCTTCCGAGGGTTAGACGTGCTTGCACAATACATCTGGGGCTTGATGGCAGCCCGCCACTTGTCTCTGTCCTGTGGGTTGATTTTATCTAAGTTCAGGTGGTGGAGGTCCTCCCGTACGTTGTCGTACCATTTCCTTCTAGGGCGGCCACTAATTACTTACTTATCTGCTTCATCCCTTGTGAGACATAAGGCCACGACTTTTTCCTTCCATCTGGGTCTGTCCTTGGCCACCTTCTTTACCGATTGCCAGGATAGTCCCATGTCTGCCAGGTCATCTGGCACAATTCTTCTCCAGGTGGTTTTACTAATTACCTTTACATAATATTGATCGCAAAGTAATTAGTCAAACCTGTACAACTGGCCACCTCTACATACATGTACATGTACATGTACATGTTCATGTAAGGATCACGTAGCCACCTTTTGGCGGTCGCTTAGATAACTTTTCCCACCGACACAAGCATTAAGGATCCTGTCTATAGTGACCACCTGTCCGCATACATGTAGACCAGCATTCGCTGGTAATCTTAGTGATGTTCTTGGGTGATTCTGACTGTATTTAGATTCTACTGTGTCTTGCGATTTACCATAAGTGCAATGTCTAACCCTGTATCTCATTTCCTCCCTCTGCAGGCATTAACAACTTCTGCAGAGACATAGAGATGATGGTTGGTTTTAAACCTGGCTGGTACTGGAAGGCCACCTGGGCTGTCATCTCTCCTGGACTGCTGATCGTAAGCCTTCTTTTGCTCAGCATTTTTCCTCAAAATTATGTCCAATTGTCAGTTACAACCCTGTATTTGGACACAGGGTTGGTGTGTGTGTATGAGTGTGCGTGTGTGTGTGTGTGTGTTAATGTGTGTGTGTGTGTGTTTTGTTTGAGTGTGTATGTGCGTGTGTGTGTTTGTTTTACAACCAGCCCCTCTAACTCTGTCCTGCCACTTGCTACATAAATTTTATCTTCTTCCACAGTTCCACCAGCCTGGTGGAGTACATAGTGGCTCATGGTTCAGTTTTTCTTCTCCTTTAACATTTTCTTTCCTTCCCTCTCTCTCCAGTTCATCTTCAGCCTGGTGGGGTACACTCCCCCAACGCTGAATGTGTGTGTCTGTGTGTGTGTGTGTACATGTATGTGTGTGTATACGTGTGTGTGCGTGCGTGCGCGCGCGCGTGTGTAGCCCCTCCAACTCTGTCCTGCCACTTGCTACATAACTGTATTTTTCTTCTCCAGTTCATCTTCAGCCTGGTGGAGTGCACAGTGGCTCATGGTTCTGTTTTTCCGCTCCTTTAACTCTTTCTTTTCTTCCTTCCCTCTCTCCAGTTCATCTTCATCTTCAGTCTGGTGGAGTACAAGGCCCCGACGCTGAATGACACGTACATCTACCCCAGGTGGTCGCAGGCCATCGCATGGCTCATGGTTCTCTTTCTCTTCTTTAACTCTTTCTTTTCTTCCCTCTCTCCAGTTCATCTTCATCTTCAGTCTGGTGGAGTACAAGGCCCCGACGCTGAATGACACGTACATCTACCCCGGGTGGTCGCAGGCCATCGCATGGCTCATGGTTCTCTTCGGCACCATCTGGATCCCCGCCATCGCCATCTACAGGATCGTAACGTCGCCGGGAGACACCTTCATGGAGGTTAGTTGTTTTTTATCACTGTTACTAGATGCATAGTGGAGTGGAATTAGCTGCTACTAAATACAGAAGGGATGTTCAAACGTTACGTGTGATAGGTTGTTCAGTGTAAATACATGAATAACTAGATAAGTTGATGAACTGTTGTAATGTTGCCTGATGTAACTCTGGGCTCTGTTAGGACTAACCAACCGCCCCAACTGAATGTACATTGTATCAACAAAAACTCATTTTAACTATCTTTGCGGTACAATATATTACATGTAGCTGTGGTTTACTCATAAACAAGACCAGCCTGAACTAACTGACTTTTCTTTTACCTTTACAACGTTTAAAATTCGCCTGCAAGCCACAAACCTTACTGATTAGCCCAAACTAACAGACTTTTCTTTTTTAAACTTTTACAGCGTTTAAAATTCGCCTGCAAGCCAGCGCCGGACTGGGGCCCGTACCTGAACCAGCATCGCGCCCTGGACTCGGAACGGTACCAGGCCAAGCCCGACCCCTCCAAGCAGATCGTCAACGATCCGTACGCAGACATCGGCACCAAGATTTAACCTTTAACCTCCGACCCCGCACTCAGGGAAACCTGTAGCTACGGTAACCGTAACCATGGGAACTAGCCACGCCCACACCACACACTCCTCAGTAGTAGACGTATGTAAAAACGCCGGTGAGAGACCCAGCCCAGGGCGGGGGGGCGAAGTTCTAACCTTCGGGGAAAGTCGTTGTCGTTGTTGTAATTTTCGACAACGACGTAGCAACAATGTTTAAGGGTGGGACCTTCTAGCTCAGTAAGTGTCAATAGTTTGCGCACGGATTTAGTGAGAGAAGTACTAGAGGCCGGGAATAATTGGAGGAAAACACCACCCTTTTGGCCACAATACGTTGGTAGCAAAGAAAATTGTACATGAGGTGTCCAGATCAGCGAAAGGGACCGTTAAGGCAGAAATGTAGCGATTGGGGTCGAATCCCTAAAGAAGAAGAGTGAAATTGTAACCAAGGGGATCAACGACTCGCCATGAGAGTTTGGTGAAGTGGACTAACCGAAGACATATATGGTATCCTGAATCATTATCGTGACCTCCTGTATATAAAACAAACTGTAGATCGTGCTTTCGACGTTTGACTGTACCGTAATATTCGCTGCCAAAAAAGAGAGAATCGTGGTGACGTCAGCTTAACCCTTGCAAGCGCTAGCTTGTGCTTTGGATGTGCTGTACATTGCAGACTGTGTGCCATTGTGGTGTGAATGATGCCATATTCCCCTGTAGATATTAGCATTGCTTACGAAAATACTGTGCCAAGACGAATTTACCTTGTTTTTGCAGTAACTGTAATCTAGGCAGCATGCTTGCTTGTATAAAAATCGACATGCATGGTTAGACCTGCCCAAAAGGCCTTCAGTTCTAGTGCTATTTATAAGCAGATTCTGGTTATATTAACTTATTGCGTTTTTGCCCATGCAGTTCTGAAATACTACCCTGCAAAAGTTAGAGCTGTATATGTATATAAAATAAACGTTGGTGTGAATTTCGTGGAAATATTAATGCTTAGAATGGCCCCAGTTGTTTTACTTGGATTTTTACATAGTTTAATGGGAAAACAAGTTCTGATTTAACTATGCTTAAAAGTATAATCTTATGTATAGACACAACTCTATTAATTATAACGGTACTCTAATTCCAGAATGTAACCAAATAAGATAAAGGTTTTTCAACATATCTTTCATTGTTATCAGTGAGGTTAAAGAACTGTGGTTTCTATAGGCTGCCATAATATCTTTGATATGATATTTTGGCTTTTGAATGTGTTGAAAAAACACAATGTTTAAGCTTTATGGTACTCATGACAAATTGTTGATATGTTGTACTTCAGCAATTTATGCCAAAACTATCAGAGAAAAGCATGCATATAAGACAAGAGCATTGTCTTACTACTGATTCTTGAAGGCAAGACCATAATGTCTTAGTGCCAAGTTGATTCTTTTTCTTCAGTCTTAAGCGAAGATCTTAATGTGCTGCTGTGGAGTAAGAGCAAAATTTAAACCCAAGACGATTTCGTTGACAAATCTTGGATTTCTAAGACGAATTTTGTGGAAATTCTTGCGGAAATTTTTTTGAGATGAATTTTGTGCAAATTTTTCCCATTCGGCCCGTCATGTTTGTTTAACCTTTTTCCAGCTGAGTCTTGCTGTTAACAGTACACATGTGGTGCATTTGTGACCACTTAGCTGGGAACTGGTTAACAATAGATTGCTTGACGTTTTCTTCAAACTAAAAGAAGGAAATCTTTAGTAGCAAAATATTGATGAGGAACTAAAGAAAGGAATACACTTTTTGTCAGAGTACTTTTTGGAAACAACCTTTAAAGAAAAAGGTCTATTCTGATGCCAAGAAACCTACAAACAAGTTCAGACAACTGTATTTTTAGATGAAAGACGTGTAATTTGTTTGTATATAATGTTCAAGTTTCTCTACCAATAGATAACCTGTATTTTGATCACATGACTTCACAAGCCAATGGAATGGGTCCGCTCGCCGGATCACATGATCATGAACCAATGACGACGCGAGGTACTTCCTTGTATTTGAACTTCCACTGTTACCTCATCCAGAAGTAAGAGTTGTGCAGAAGTTTTTAGGTTCTCCGTACAGAAATCTTATTTTCTCGTCGGTTTCGCGAAGGTTTTGTGGTGTTTCTGTGCGTGTATTTTATGAAGAAAGGGGAGTTGTAGTAGTGAGGGTGCCATATTAATGATGTGTGTACTAGCAGTGGTGTAAGTGTTTGTGGAAATGTTAGGATAACAAAAGTAGACAGGTCTGACCGTTTAGCAGTAGTTTTGTAACCGTTGTTCGTTCCTCCAACAACTGAAGTTTTGCTGTTGTGTTGCCAGGGTTTTTGTACTGTATTTTCCTTACAGTAGCACTTCTGTTGATGATAATCATTGATTATCAATCATAACGAATGTAGCCAGCAGGAAAAATGCAAGGATTTTATGTTCATTTCTGGGCATACCTGTGATCGCAAAATGTCAGTATTTTTCAGACTTGATGTTTCTCAGTTTTGTAGATGACTTGGTTTTGAAAAGTTCATAAGTTTGTTGGTATTGAAGATTATAAAAGATGCAACATAGGTGCTTGCCCAGTCCAGGTATTAGAATATTTCATATTTCCTTCAAAGGCTGTGTTTAAAACAACTCAGATTTTAGTGTGAAATATGTGATATGTAACCATGGAGTTAAAAACTTTGTAAACCTCCTTGATGTAACAAACTTGTGAAGAAAAACATATTTTATTTTACAGCCAACTTTGAAACATGTTACTTTGGGTTGACACACGGAAAATCTAAGAGTAAGCTGTTGTGCAATTTCTTTTCAGACTTGTACAAGGTACTATGTGATGATTGGTCCCAGATTGTTCACTATGTTGCCAATGTGCCATTTTACGTTATACGTGATCCACACTGTTGATGTATATTAAGAACACCAACGGATGGATATTTTGTTGCATCTTCGGAGCCCAGATTTTGCATGTTGTTGGTGGGAATGTACAATAAAAAAAACTTACATGAAATCTTTGTGGTTGTCTTTTCCTTTGAAGAAAATTGCAGTACTCTAAGTCTAGGTCTGTTTTCAACAACTGCTTGAGCTATTCGATTATATACGGCCTGCTATATGAACTTTTGGGTGTTAGGATTCTGTATTCAATGCAAATATCAAATTTTCAAATGTCGCTACACCTGAATGTAATATAAAATATATTGATACATCATCAGATTATCTAATGTGAGATTCCTTTAACCTTTCACCTCTGCTTGTAAGGTGTTAGCCTCTACCAGGCTTCGGGAGGCGGCTGAAAATTGTAGATATTGGCTAAATACAGATAACATGGCAGGGGAGTTGGTCTGCTGGAGAGTACACCCGGGTGCGGCAAACAGTATGACTAATAAACTGGTGGACGTACCAACCACTAAGTATCTGATACCAGCCCAGAAAAGAACAAGAAACAGTCATGCCTTCAAATATCAGAGTTATCAACCAAGAATTGAGGTATTCAAAAAGTTAACTCGTATTTCCCCAGAACTATTGTAGACTGGAACTCGTTGCCACCAAGCACAGTTGGGGCAATATCACTAGAAAGCTTTAAACAGCTCCTGCAATCAAATGTGCAAAGATTGAGTGTAACATGCCGTTCGGTGTGATATAGCTAGCTGCCGCCGCGCCGCGTGCCTGCGAAGCTGGTGTGTTACGCCGAATGACGATTATGCCGGCTATACCGATACAGATACAGTACTCTCTAGCGGACCAACTCCCCTGCGGCCGGCATGTTATTTCTCTCTATTTGGCCAATTTCTACTATTTGCAGCTGCCTCCTGAAGCCTGGTAGAGGCTAGTAGTGTTCATGACTCAGCTGACAAAATTTAGGGGAGACATGTTAGCAAAAGCCCCGGCACCGCGCCAAGGTCTGTCTCCATTGCCGAGGAAATTTGGAAGACGTCTTCCTACTATGACCTTCAACATCCTCCACCTTAAGAACCAACCGAACAAGGAACTTTCACTTTCAAAGTCTTGAGTGTCACTTGGCCAAGGAGCTATTAAGGTAAATTCTCTTGAAAAAGTTTAAAGAAAAGGAAATAGTTAAAACTATTGTTTCTCTTCTCTAGCTATGTAGTTTTCCTTCTTTTTTTGATTTAGTTATACCCCAATTAAGAACAGTTAAATTTAGTTGATCATATTTTAATCTTCCATAACCCAAGCAGCCAGATTAAAAAAAAATACCTAAATAAAGTAAAATTAAGCCAAAATGTCTATCTGTTTGGGTCGTGACTTAATTTCAAAGCTGCCCCAAATGTTATAAAGACTTATTTGAACCAAGTGTTACCCAAGACTCGAAAAGTTAACACAACTTGTAGAGGATGTTGCTGGCCATGTCAGGAAGAATGTCGTGTGGCCGAAACCGAGTGCCAAATAGAATTACTCCATAGAAATAGTCATGGAGGGAGAATCTTAGTCTTCTTACACCATCTACTAAACTGGAAAGAATAGCATAATCATCATGTATAATAATCATCATCAAACAAGAAACACACAGGAGAATTGAGAAGTCGGAGAGAAAGCCAGCACCTTCAACAGTCCAAAGAAGGCGCCAACTCAGGAAAAAGTGTCGGAAAGCGAGCGCTGAGGAGAGAGCAGGGCTAGAGGAGTTGTGTAAAGATGTGAGATCAAGGCTGAAAAGATTCGGAGTTCTAGATGGCCAAAAGAAGAAACACACAAAAAATAAACAAAGAATAAACAAACCCAGGAGAGTTGAGAAGTCGGAGAAAAAGAGAAAAAGCCAGCACCTTCAACAGTCCAAAGAAGGCACCAACTCAGGAAAAAGTGTCAGAAAGCGAGCGCTGAGGAGAGAGCATGGCTAGAGGAGTTGTCAGATGTCAGATCTAAGCTGAAAGTACTGAGGAGAACGGAGAGACTTAGGAAGACTATTTGGTGGGCCATTACTTTGGGTGGAAAGAAACAAGAATGTCAAGAGTAAATTCACTCACTCACTCACTATCCGTGTTTTGATTATACTGCTGTCCAACAATATATTATAAGTGCAAACAAAGTTGTTGTTGTCCCTTAGCTTAAAGTCTATTTTCTAGCTAGGCATGGTCTCTTGGTGCTGATCAGAAAGATTAAATGCAGTCCTATAACATACAGTAACTCACTCTATGTTAGTGGTGGTTAGTGGTGGCAAAGGTTAGTGGTTAGTGGTAGAAGAAGGTAGCAAGAGATTGTTGCCTGAGAAAAATGGACATGTGACCACAAAAACCGTGAATATAAAAGTACCGCAAAAAAAATCATGATTTACTGTACTTGGAAGGGGGTGTTAAAGAGCCAAATCCAAATCACATGCCATAACCATGTGTCCATACAACATCCAAGAGGTCAAAACCATACAGACAGGGTAGCTTACTTAGGAAGCAAGAGTTACCAGGAATTCAGCACAGAGGACAGGAACACCATTGTCCCATCTCACACAGGGCCAAACCATGTTGAAGAGTCAAATCCGAATCGCGTACCGCAGTCTTGTCCTACAATGTATCAGGGTCTGAGCTGTAGAGATGAAGTGGATGGGCAATCAGATGTATTACTGCACACAGAGATCGGAAACCCTCAAACCCGGGTTCCGTAACTAGCATCCCCTTTCTGTGTGTGGGTCTTAAGCAGAGGCGAGAGAGGGAAGGGGATAGCGGTGCACTACTCCCACCGGCTCTCACTAACACGTACCTGCAAAAGACGGTGTGTCCGTGACATTACAGCCAAACTGTCTCGGAAGCCACCATGCCTTGGAGCTAGCTTAAAATGTAGCTATATGCTCTCGGCGTTCCCCTCGCCAATCCTATGGTATTTAAGCCCCCACTGGGGAAGGGGGCACTGGCACATGTAATATACAGTATACCCTCCCCCCCTCTACGCTAATCTCCAAGCAGATGTTGAGTGGCTGCAAGACAGTATCAAATAGGCCAGGCAGTATCCATTTTCCAGACAGAATCCAACACGCCACCCAATTGGGCATCGGCATATTGAATACCGTCTGGTAAGCAGATACAGCCTGACCAATTTGATACAGTCTTTGCAGCCACCCAAAGATCTACTTGGAGATTTTACCCACCCCATCCCCCCTAGATGTAGTGCCAGCTACCATAGGATGTAAACAAGGCATATATGAATTTGGGTGCCCATCTTTTAGGCGCGTCATATCAGACTAGTGGCGTCACACTCCAGCACACAAACCCCACTGCCGAAAGGATCACTAAACTAAACCCTAACATTGCAGTAATTCATCTGATCACCCATTCACCCTATCTCTACAGCTCAGCCCTAACACATTGCAGGACAAGAATACAGTACACAATTCGGATCTGACTCTTCAAGATAGTTTGGCCCTGTGTGAGATGGGACAATGCTGTTCCTGTCCTTTGTGCTGAATTCCTGGTAACTCTTGCTTCCTAAGTAAGCTACCCTGTCTGTATAGTTTTGACCTCTGGGATGTTGTATGGACACATGGTTATGGAATGTGGTCTGGATTTGGCTCTTTAACATCCCCTTCCAAGTACAGTAAATCATTATTTTTTTCGCGGTACTTTTATATTCACAGTTTTGTACCACAGAATCTGGAGTCATGCT